CTCCAGTGTAATGTGATCACTCCATCAAGGTATGAGGGATCGTCAGATAGCAAATATTCTTCATAAGTATACAGTGACATATACTAATGTCAAGATGCAAATTCAAGACAAATATCACAAGTGATGTTGTGCTTGGTTACCTAAGGTATAAAACACTACCAGGGAATTGCACGTTTCCTTAATAGCAACCAAGCACACAAGAAAGAGACATGAACACATGTTATGTAATGCACAATGCAAGCAGACAAACATACACTCAATGCAAAAGAACATGCTCACTACAATGTAGAGTGTTGTCATGGGTGATGGGTAGTATGACTCATCCACCAAATGAGTTCAAAGGCTACCTGAGCAAGGTGAGAGTCATGTACCTGAGTGGAAATAAATTGTGCACTAGGTGGGTTCAGAGGCTAGCAAGCGTGACCCATGTAAAGTGACAAGATGTAAAATGCTCACGAAATTCTTAAGTGGTGTTGTAAGAAGTGAGGCAATGTAAACCTTCATGAAAATGAAGGTTTTCCCTCACGAGCATAACCTTCATGATCTAGAGAATGAGAATAAAAGGAATTCCCCGTTCTCTAAATCGAGGTAGCTTAAACCCATTCTTCAAGGGATGAAACTGCCGAACAATCACGGGGTTGCTAGGTTCCCGACCGATTAGGTTGATGTGCTAGGGTTATGAAGGAAATATTAAAAAAAATAGCTCTAACCTAATAGCTGACTCTGACATAGAACCTAACCTTATCTTCTCTAACACAAAACCTAGGGGTTTGTTAGAAATAAAGAACAAGGGTTTAGCTCTCCAAGCGAAGGTTAATGAAGCATTCTCTTTGCTTGCTCCTTGCTCCAGCTTTGTGAGGACGAAGTTCTCCTTTCTCTTTAGAAGTGATGAAGCTGTCCTTCTTCCTTAAGAGAGATAAAGCTCTTCTTCCTCTTCAATGTAGCTCCTCCAAGCAAATCTCTTGCACACTCCAAGAGATGGTGGAGGAAGAAGAAGAGAAATAAGCAAAAGAAATGTAATGGAAGAAGAGGAAGAAGATGAAGTTGGGGTTGAAGGAAAATAAGACTTCTCCTCACCATTCTTCAGAGCTCTCCACCTCAAGCCACCAACAAGAAAACCTCAAGAGCCCAAGGAAGAAGTTAGCCTTCCTCTTCCTTTTTGTTGAAAATACCCAGCCCCTCTTTTTCCAAATTCCACCAACTGTCCAAAAATTTTTTGCCCCTAATGCATATCTTCCCATTATATAAGAATATATACACTTTTTAGCTACTTAGGGGGGTTGTTCCGGCCTTGATTCGACAAAAATCTCGAGAAAATTTGGGATCTGAAAGCGGGCTGGCGCCTAGGCACTGGGGCTTGTGCTTTAGCTTTTCACCCTCTCGGATTTGGAGCTGTTTTTGATATCTAGGCTCCCAGACTGGCGCCTAAGAGCCAAGGCTTGGCCCTAGGTGCGCGAATTGGGTATCAACTTTTCAGGCTCTTAGTTCCATGGCCCGGGGGGCTGTTTTGGGAGCCTAGTCTCTTGGACTGAAGCCTAGGCGCTTAGACTGGGCACCGACTTTCCAGGTTTTTAGTATTGTGGCCCAAGGGGGCTGTTTTGGGTGCATATGCACCCTAACTAGGGTCTAGGCCACATTCTGACCCCGTTAACCCCAATTTTTTGTGGAAAATGTTCGACGAAAGGTTTTATCGATTCATAAGATATGGGAGACTACATATGACTAAAATATGGTCTCATACTTATAAAAGTGGTCATTTTCATAGGTCTTATATCAAAGACTTCCATGTCAACGGGTGCCCTAAACCACTACATGTGTGTATCACCCCGAACATTATATGCTCCCATAACATTCGAAAGGGCATCCAACATGTGCGACATAAAAAATTGACGCCAACATTGCTTTCACTTATTTAATAAGTATTCAAGAGTTTATTGAGATAATCAATTTTTGTTATAATAATTTGTTTTATTCAATGGTTAACGAATAACCCAATGCATATAATAAGATAAGTAACTTGTGATGTATGCATGCCTTGTTGAGAGAGCATGATAAAAGATTGAAACTGTGTAAGTCATGTTATTAGTCATCATAATACCCTTTCTTATTAATTAATTATTCGCTTAAGCATGCCACATTGGTTAGAATAATTAATTAGATCAATTTATGTTGAATCCACAAACATAAATAAATATCTTTAATAAAGAAATTTTTTGTTGAAATTATGAGAGATTGATCGCTTAAGCATAACAACTCAAGTCAATAGAAATCTAATACCCATATAGTTTAAAATTGTCTTGGATTATCATAAAGTTAAAAGAAAAAAATAAATAATACTTGTCTTTAATTACCTTCCGTACATAAATTAGATAGAAGGTATGTAACCATTTTTCTTCTTATGAAGTGGTAAGATCCATTACTTATTCCAAGTTCAATGATTTCTTATGCTTCTTATGTGTTAACAATTTTCCTTAGATAAATAGTTAGATGGATCATGCAATACCATATATCCTTAGATAATTAATTAGATTGGTTATCCAATACCACATTATTTGATAAAGTGCTTATAATTATTTCTTATAATTACTAACTTCATATATATATGGCCTAGTACTATCATTACTTGTTTTCATCCTTTAATTCTAAAATTAATTGTTAGATTTAGGTAGTACATGTAAAAATTGGAATTCTATTAAGATGTTTGGTTGTAAGAAATAAAATTTAGGAAATACTGATCTACATGATTCTACTGCTAGAATTATAAAGATACAATTTGAAAATTTATGGATACTATAGCATTTAAAATTATTCAATGATTGAACCTTAAAGATGAGAAATTATTGCATCAGGACACCTGATGCAAATTTGCATAAGATGTCCAATAATAAGGGGCCACGTGGCAATTTGGGCCCACTGACATACACGGTTCGGGCCCGGGTTGCCACGTGGCTCTCTGTTATAGGACACCTGATGCAAATTTACATGAGGTCTCCTGATACAATACTTTTTCCTTAAAGAGCCTATAGATCTTATCCATCTACCATTGTATGTATATTATGACTAATTTGGTATTCTTACAATATATGCAAAGATTCATATGATGAAATAAAAAATATATATATATATATATAAAGTTTGCTTTTTTACTTTTATAACACCATAAGCTTTTGTATAACATAAAAAAAAATCACTAATTTAAGTTCTAAAAAGGCAAAATATTTCTTTTCATGCAGAGATAAAATGCTTCAATTGTAAAAAATTAAAGTTCAGGGGTTAGATATGTAAATACATAGGAATTGGGTGTTATACTGCTTTTGACAATATTTGATTTGAAAAAAATAGAAATAAAAAAAAATAATAATAAAAAAAAATAACATTACCTTTCACTCATTTATTTAATTCAAGAAAAACAGAAAAAAAATTCCCATCTAATTAATGAGATTAAATAATTATTTCTTACGAGAAGAAGACTCTT